GAGAACACTCCAAGAGTCAAGATATGTGGTACAGCTCGAAATTTTTGCATAAAAATAATGCTAATATAAAAAAGATATTAATTGAGAGAATCGTAGCTATAAAAAATATATGTATTATATATTTATATTAATTAAATTATAATTACTTTTCTGTGGCATATTTTTCATTTTACAAATCATTTAAAAAAAAGAAAGTTTTTTTTTAGATTTTTTTCAAGAATACAAGCCAAAAATATTAAAATTTTATATATTTTTCTAATGCAAAAGTAATATAAATATAATACATTTTATGTATTTTCGTATTCATATTTTTTCTTCTACATACTTTTCTAGTGCAAAAGTAAATCGATGTCGTGTATCGAAAGCCGAACGTATGTGAAGATATTGCTTGCAAATTTCTTTGTGCAACATAGCGCGGTAAACCACAAGCACAATATATAACACATCAGATTACGTTAGCTTCATTATATTCCGTCTCGGGACATTTAACTCGCCAACTAAATCAATGTTCGATAGACACAACACCGTGATTCACTTGCATACTTGTCATCTTCCTACGCATTTTGCACAACCCAACACTTCACTTTACTTATCAATATTATCGCAACCACCAAGAGCTACTTGAACATCTATATAATCATGGCGTAAGCAGGAAGGTTAATTATTAAGAAGGTAAATACGTGAGAAAAAAGAAAAAGAAAGCAAAAGTGAACCAAAAAATGAAAGAATAAGAGATAAAAGAGAAAGAAGAATGATATCAAATGATTTGATCTACTCGACAGGAAAAATAGATAGAAATTATAAGTAAAAAAAAAAACAATAAATACAAATTAAAAATTAAATCTCCAAAAATAAAAAGAATATATTGAATATAAAAAGAGGAGTAAAAAGAAGATAAGACAAAAATATACCATAGTAATTTAAGAAAGCTAAAGAAAATAATGAGAAAATAAGAAAGAAAGGAGAATAAAAAGAAATATGACAGAGAACAGGAAAATATGATAGAGGACGAGTGTCTGAGAAAAAGTAGAGTGTCAGAAAGAGATCAAGATGGACTCGATGGACTCTACAGCGTGTTGATCGCAAAAGGAAGAAGAAGAAAAAGCAGATGGCAAAACGAAGGAGGCGCAACGAGCGGCGCGCGAATGTGATGAAGGTAGAAGGGGTCGTTGATGATGGGAGAAGAAAAGAACACGGGCAAGTAGCGAAAGCAGAAGATAAGAAGAGAAAGAGAGAAAGAGAGAAAGAACCAAAGCGAAGAAGATGACTCACCGCTCCTGTCACTGGCTGCTTGACGTTTGTCGTGTCCGGCGAACGTGCCGGTCATGTGGGCAAGCACTGTCGCGAGCACGACGAGTGCCCGGTAGCCGTAGAACCTCATGGCCGCCCTTTAACCGAGGGTACCGAATTCGAGAAAAGAGAGAACGGTTAAACGAGATCGTAGACGACTCTCTCAGGACTCTCTACCGCCTCGAGCGGATCTGCTGAGCGCACTGCTGGCTCAGCGTCGACTGAGACGTACTTTGTGCTCGCCGCTCTATCAGCAGGACCGTCACTCCTCTCGGTACGTTTCACACCGCGGTCGTGTGTATCCCTCGGGTAGGAAACTACCACCACAATGAACGGATAGTATACTGTAGTCTCTGGGCAGGTTGTGCTACTACCCGCCGCACAATGGGCCCCCACACTCTTATCACCCGAATTTTAATCCCAGCAGTACCTCCGCGATATCGGTCACCGTCAACTTTTCCTCTCGTATCCACGCACGAATCCTGCACATCTATTTAAAACCTATCGCTCCACCTCGCGCTCCTTACCATTGGCTCCTGCCCCAATTCCTTGCCCAATGGTACTCTCTCGCGCGCGTTCACCTCCTTTTCAGATCGGTGACGGCGGCGGTGGCAGCGGACGTGGTTATATCTCTCAGGTGGAGAGAGAGACAGAGGGAAAGGTGGCTGATGGAGATCGGGTGGTGAAGTAGGCAAGCGTAGTAGGTGGCGAAGTCCCCCGATTTTGCCCAGGCGGTGAATACTATTGTCGACGAATACAAGTCCGACGAACGTCGCGTGCGACGGTAACGAACTTCTCGAGTTCGCGAAACGATGACGTTGAAAATTTCCCCTCTTTCGCGTATTCGCGCGCGCCGATCGCGGTCGACGAAGGTGAAGGGGGTTTTAGGTGGGGTTCGCGCGCGCGAGCAATCCAAGATCGGGCTGTCGCTGTCGCTGACTTTGCTGACTCCGCTCGGTTCTCTCCCGGTTCTCTTTCCGCGTGTCTCGCGTATAAACTGGTCTAGGATACCGCAAAATCGTCTGGCTATTTGTCTGCGTTACGATCGGAACAAGCAGAAATTATGGGCGTCGTGTGCCTATTCTTAGGAAAGATCAACACAACTTCCGCAACACGGTTTTATTCACGTGGGAAAAACCCATGAGGGACAGTCTGATGATGTATGGACAAGGTCGAGGTGAAAATTGGCGAACGTCAATGTAACCCGTTACTATTACTGTTTCCAAGTGAGAATAATAGAATGAACATATGCTAAAAAACAGATGTGGACTAGTTAAATTACGATGCGATACTTTATAGGATGTAAAGAAAGTCTTAAGCACTTTTTTGAATTTGAATGATTTATATATCATATCTAAGTCTATAGAGAAAAAAAGAGACAGAAATAACTAATATTAATCAAGAAATTCCAAAAAATAATACTATGACAAAAATAACTATTGCCAAACTATTAATATTTTATATATCTAATTAATATAAAGTTTCATTTATCATATGAGTTTGTATTTCTGGATGCAATCTAGAGAAGTGGAATTATTTTGACTTAAATTTATGTTGTTTTAATTTATGCGTTCAAAAAGTTCATAAGAATATGGAATGGTTGACAAACTTTTAAAAGGTAAAATGTTATACATTTTATATTAAAACTAGATAAAGAATAAAGCATCAGTTGAGTACACACGCTGGTGAACGTTACAGTGGAATTTACTCAAGGCTCTTTCGGTCTCGTCGCACCGTTTGGCGACCGCGTACTCCAACGCGCGTACACTGCGATGTGGCGCAGCCACCGACACATGCTGTGCAATATCGGAATTGCGCACTTTCCTTGCTCCTGCCTTTCGATTTCACCCGCGTATTCAAGACTATTTCGATTATGACGGTCCCGGCACACCCAGACTTCAAGTACCTTGACGTACCTTGGCAATGAGCAAACGATTCACTGGCTCTTAGATTGTCTTACCTTGGCACTTCCCTTTCTACAGCTGGTATGATGCTCGGTATTTCGCGCTTGCGAAAATCGCGACCAACTTTCGATCGGCACTGTCGGTCGACAACTGTCTAATCTCGCGACAATTACATATGTCAAAAGGATGCCATTTTTTTCAGTCTACAGTTTGACCAACTTAAGTATAGCATCAATGCAATGCTTAAAATAGGATCGTAATGCTATATTTACTTCACACTTGCTATGTTAATGTTGAAAATAATGATAATTATTTACCTTGTATTATTTAAAACGCATAGTCATTTTCTTTTAGATATTTATCAAGTATTAATCTTACTTGACGTACATACATTTGTAGTAGCGCTTCTTCCTCTTTCAGGAAACAAGTTCCTGAATGAGCTGACTGGATAGAATTTATTCCAACTGTTTACGTTCAAATTATTCTAGTATATATACATGTAATATTAAAAATTATTTGATTAATTAATGTGTAATGTGTTAGCAATAATCAAACAACTTACATGATTTATTGGCATGGTAGGAGTATTCAAGAATTTTCAAAATATTCCTAAAAGTTATAATTGAAATTCATAATTAGTAAAGCTATAAATTATTTAAGAGGCCAAAACATAATTGTTTTTTACAATTTCATTTCACATATGCTATGTTCTTTTATATATTTCCATAGCACATATCTATTTTTATCTGTTACAGGTAACCTTCGAGCACCGGTGATAAGAACACAATTATTTATCAATTATATGGTAAAATACTTATTGTTATTAAACGTACCTTCACAAGTTAGGGTAATAATAAGCGTATAATTAATAAATAATTGTGTCATTATCACTGATGCTCGAAGGCTACCTGCAATAGATAAAAATGGATATGTGTCGTGAAACATATAAAAAAGACTACCTAAATTCCAAAGAAACATTTGCTTAAGAATGCTTTGCTGTACAATATCAGTTAAAAGTATGAGCGAAAATTACTAGCCAATATCAGTAAAAATAATTGTGTCAAAAATACTCTGAAATCAATTGCAAAAAACAAAACGATTAATTATTTGGCTTTTATTGACTTATGCAAGGTAGTTATTATATCTTGCTGCAGTTTTGGGTAAGTAACTTTTAAACGTTTAACAAGTTGATCTAAATGAACTCTTACACAAATATTTATTAAAATTTTATTGATATATATGAAAAATTTGATTTAATTTATTATTTCTTCAAAAATGTATATGTCTAATCTGCAAATTTGAGTTGTGACATATACATTCTTAACTTTTCCAACTAGACACGTGTCTTATCTCACACAAATTGTTTCTATAATGTAATTATGGTAATGATAAAAACAACAACAAATATAATCATAAGTATCAAGTTACGACGTGTAGTTAGAGTTTTTACAGAATAATTTTTGAATTACTTTGTTTTCAAAAAGAATTTACTTGAAAATTGTTATTGACATTCTAATTGTTTATTTCAATTTTATTAAAATAATATTACATATACATTTTCTAAACGAGTTATTTTTTAAAAATTTATTTTCTCGAATTGCTTATATCATGAAGTCGCACTATTAGCAATTAATAATATAACGCCATTTAATTGATTAATCACGAGATCATGGAAATTTGTTTATGCGTGGTTAATTAGAACATAGTAACAATAATCGTGTGTGGTGCGCGTCTTCGAATCGATTAATGTTTTTAATCAGCCGCATACAGGCCAAATACGATTGTTTTTTTCTTCGGTAGCACAATCTCAATTGTCCTTCAGATCTCATTAAGAATCGACGATGAGTCGCCCGCGCAACGCGGAAACTCGCTACGCTTGTCCGTGGGTTCGAGCGTATTAAAAGGATTCGTCATGGCGGGACAGGTATGACGATGTTTGTATTCATTGGTGTGATCCCGAATAGCAATCGTCACATACACTGGGACACTTTTCCCCGACGGATAGCCCGTCTATCGCGTCATGGTTGATGGAAAATAGGAAAAGAACACGGCACAGACGGCGAGAAAGCCAACGGTCAAAGATCCATCTATTGATAATGACTCGATTGGCGATGATTCAGTGAGTAGAACTTTATATCTATTTAACATGTCCGAAAGATAACGCGTTAAAACTATTGGAAGATAGAGCTGTCCGTAATGTCATGGTAATCATCGCGAAAAAAGATAAGATCACAAAAAAAGATAACGTACTTTTTCCATAGATTATATGGATATATTTAAATTGGAAACGTAGAAAAAGCTTCTGTTAGATAAAGACTCACTTAAAAAGACCTCGGAAAAATTCTACCTTATTGAAAATGTTACACTGAGAAAAATTAAATAATAATTAATTATTATTAAATAATAATTTTGTGGAAAATGGATGAATCGGAATTTTCTGGTTAAATCTACTAGAATTCTAATTGAGATAATTAGAATTCGGATTGATATAATTATTTTGGTAAAAATAAGAATTTTAGTACATTTTACCAGAAATATTGTATCAACCAAAATTCCGGTTATCTCAACTAGAATTCTAATAAATTTAATCAAAAAATTCTGTCCATTTTCAATCCGAAATTCTTTTCAGTGTAACTTCTTTTGTGCTTTAAATGTTGATGACATTGTATGCTGCAGAAAGTTTTAACAGTCTAACAATCAGTTTGAGAATCCTATAATTATTTTGATGGTTCGACAAAATTATTTTCAAATTCAAATTCCTTGGTAAAAATATTAGAAATATAGTTTTCTTAGATACTCATCTATAATAGTGTTACTGTCTAGTATTACTGTATTTTCATTAATTGTAACAATATACTGCGTAGGAAATGAACAAAAGCTGATAGTTTTATTCAATAAAATAGTTTTCCTGATAAAAATATTTGTGTAGACAATGTAGTTGTTTAGAATTAAATAGGTTATTATTAGTAATTTAATATTATTATTATTAATAATTTTATTAAATTATTATTAATAATCAAAACAAGGAACTACGAATCAAGCTGGATATTTAATATTAAATTTTTATAAACAATGAGTCATAATATTTACAAAAATTTAGCATTAAATATACAGCTCGGTTTGTAGTCTCTTGTTTTGATTTTAAATTATTTGAATCATTTATTATTGAATATTATTATTAATAATTTAATAGATTATTATTAAAACACTGCGTAGTTTATTTATTGTCCTGTTTTTATTCAGCAAATAGATTCAGATTTTGCGCATTTTTTGTGCGCAGTAACTGCAGGCGAAGAGTTTCATCTAGATTAGGATTCTAATTGTAAGTATAGTTTTACTTCTTAGTCACTACACAGAGTAAAAATCAGAGTAAAAATCAGTCTAAAAATCTAAGAACTGTCCAAAAATTTCTCAGAAATACATAAAATATTTATTACACTGAAAAAATTTTAGTCATTTTAGTTCAATGAATGATGATTAATCAATGTCCGACTCAATGTCCGACTTAATATAAATTAATTCATTCATACAATATATCGTTATGGATTCATTTATATAAATATACATTAATTCTTGCAATGAATTCTAGTAATAATTTTATAATCTAAATCATTATGAGAATTCATTGGACCAATTTTTATTATTTTTTTATAATTCAATAAATATTTTATTGTATTTACGTACAGTTTTGGTTCAGTATAAGGCTAACTAAATTTTTAAATTTTTTAGCAAAATCGTTTTCTTTTTTCGTATAATTATTTTTTCCGTGTATAATGATAAATTTTGGCAAGCGTTACTCAAAACAGGAAATAACGAAAAAGTACGCTATACTCAGTGACAGGCGCTGCACTTTAACCAAGACGAAAGCGATCAATTCGATTGCGCATCTCTTGTCGAGCGTACCTACTAGTGAAATGCGTTTTGCACCGGCACGCGACGCATTCTAATGTGCATTCGTACTGGTCTCTTTCTCCTCGTGAAGATTCTCGAGATCGTGGGGTTTCCGCCTGTCTATTTACCACCGCTGCCTCGTTGCACCGCTTTATCGGCATCCCGAGCGGCGATTTCCGATAGAAATTGAAAGGGAATCTATTAACGCACCTAGCGGAACGATGTAAATTGCCTTGTTGGGATTTTAACCTGCCATTGCACTTTTTAGCCGGTTTATTCGGCCGGCTGGTCTGAAACGTGCCGGGTTTCGTTTGCCGGCCGCACGAATCGGTGTCGCGCAAACCGGTGCGGTGAACGGAATCGAGCGGCGCTGCTCGATAAGCCTCGATTGCTTTCCCGATTTTTCTCACGCATATCTTGCCGCGCAAGGACGTTGTCTATATAACAGTGCTTTTCAAAGCGGTCGCTGGCCCCAACGAACTGTTACGGAAAATCCCCTCGGATTTAATTAACTACTTTAATACTGATCAATTTAATATTGGAAATTACTTATTTTAATATATTAAATTTCTGTAAGAGGATAGAAAATAAGAAATTATATTTTTAAAAAATAGACTATAATATTCAAATATTATCACTCTATAAATATATATGAAAGAGTAAAAATGTAAAAAAAGTAAACACATAGATAAAGAAATAATTTGCAAACTAATTGTAAAAAGTGACTATAGTATATATATATATATGCGATTGTTTTCCGTGTAAAAATATACACTATACTGCATACAAAAATGCATTTACACGTTTCAACGTATAATATAGTGTCATTTTTTATGGAAAATTAATCATACATATATTGTAGTCACTTTTTGCATATTTAGAATTGTAGTGAATTTAAAGCCTAAAGCTGATTATTTTTAGTTATTAACAGATATAAAAAATTTATTTCTTTTTTATTTATTTTTAGTGATTAACAGATATGAAAAAAATATAAAAGCATTCAATAATGATCAATACGAAGTCTATTTGTGCTAATTGCAAAGAAGTGAGATTTATGATATCCTCAAAGATTAATAACACATTAAGTTTGAGAAGCACTGCTCCAAAGTTGAATTTGTTTATCAGGAGAGCGGATATCTTTTGCTTAGAATTTGAATGTATTTCTTATCTATACGAAAGAATCGTTACTTACGCACGCAATACGTGCAGCGCATATTCATAAATAAACTAGTTGAAAGGAACGGCGCTTTAATTCTTATCTATGTGAAAATAGGGAGGGCGTTTATTGAATAAACAGAAAGTTATAACTTTTACCAAGTGATAATTGTGAGTGAAGATCCTTAGGAAACATAAACTTTTCAATTTTTCATTATCTGACATCTTGTAAATAAAAAGATACATATATCTTAAATATCCATAAGTAAAATTATACTTCATTTATGAATATTTTTTTATCTGCTTAAATAATATTCTTTATCCATAAATATCAAAATTAAAAAGCCTTTGCAAAAGAGAGATAACAAACAACAAAATAGTTAGTTTCTGCATTTAATATATTATATCTTCTGCAAGGTAAAGGTACTAGGTAATAATATTAAAGTATTTACATGTTTTCTTTATATTTGCTTATACATATTAAGCAAATGTACATAACATGTTCGTTGAGTTACAAAATATGTAAATTTTAAGTCACTAATTATTGTCTATATCTTATCATACGTATTCGAGATAATAACGATTACGATAAGCAAAAAAAATATTTTTATATTATAGAATTTTTTTCAAAAAACGTAATAATACACTGAAAATGAAGAAAAGAAAGTCATATATAGTCATGTACAGTCGAGGAAACCGTAAAAGATTAAAAAAATTGTGCCGTTTTTATATGTTCTTGTATGTGAACTACGAGAAAATAAAACTAAACAGTTAAAATACGTATACATAGCACTATAAATCAATTAGTACTTTCACTGATCTGAATTTCGTGAAAAAGTGTTTCGCCGTTTTACCTCGGTTTATAGATATGCTGACTTTTTGTTTGCGTGAAAGTTTAGCTTGCAATAAATAGCATCTTCCTTTTTTTTTATCACGATATGTTTAATTGTTCATCTTGAAATGACATTAACGTGAGGAGAAATGTTTTGCCTGGAAGGCAGACGCGTGATATTGGGATAAAATTTACGGCACTATTTTTTTTTTTAAATTAATGAAACATTTAAATGGTGAAATGAAGGTGTCAAGTAAAAGTATCCTTTTTTTTATAAACAAAAAAACATATTTTGTGAAGAAAATGTTTATAATTGAATACTTTAATAATCTGAATACTTTAAAGTAATAATCTGTGATAATGCATCTTTGAATATCTCATTTTCTTCATACAATAATTAGTTCTTAATTATAATTTAATAAGATTAAGTGTATCTTAATAACGGAATTATTACAAGTTAATTAATTTTTGAAGCATATAAACTATATAGAGAAGTACAGAGTACTTCATCACTCTTCTTTTCATCTGTTGACAAACTTGAAATTAATGCTTCTTTAACTGTGGAGGAAGTGCATAAAATGTGAGAAATATAATTAATGTGAGAACTACGGTATGTGTAAATCTCTTTTACACTAATTAAAATTGTAATTAATGTGCAATTATGGGCTACGTACGCGATAACTAACATGACTCCGGCCAAGATGAGAGATGATTATCGACCATGACGGTTGTAATAATTAGAACTGCTAGAGAGTGATATAGCTACAAATATAATTCTCGATATACGGATATAAACTCACAAATCTTGTGAAGTGTCAAATTCTGATTTTAATAAAACTTTATATACATGCAAGTTATATAAGTAGATGAATTTAGTGAATCAGTTGCGACCAACAAATGGTTTAAGGGATGAAATTATGCCTTACATGTATATGTACAGCAGTTTTCAACTTTTTTCATTATATCTCAAAAACTATTTAAGGTCTAAAAATTGTTTTACACAATTGTTTTATACAATGAAATTACTTCTATTTATCTATGTCAATAGTATTAAAAAAAAATAATTATTTTTTAAATTCATATTTTTTGAATTATTTTCTCTAAAAATATTAATACATAAAATTTTTAAAGATAAATAGAAATAACTTTATTATATGTATATTCTGTAATGTAAAATATTTTTGATATCTTGAATGGCTGTTGAGATACAACAAAAAAGTCGAACTGCTTTATATAAGACATGATTTCACTTTTTAAAATTGTTTATTAGTTGCAATTTTCTTTTTAATGAAAATTATTTATGTAATCTACATATATACAAAGTTTTATTAAAATCAAAATTTGACACTATAAGTTTCCTTCTCAACATTATAATTATACTAATATTTAACTGTTTGAATAATTTTGCAACAAAAATTCGAATTTGCGAGAAAAGACTTATGAATAAATGATTGAAATTCCAAAGGATGTTATTAGGATAATTATTATCCCATCTATAAGTGCGGACTCCATCGCTCAAGTGATAAAAAGCCGCTTTGTTTAGAGGACAATAGAAACCTGTTAAATAACAGGCATACTGCTTAACGAGGTACACGTCAATTAATCGCTAATTATAGCCGATATAAAGCTGGCTTTTTAAAAATCGGCAATTTTAAATTATATGGTCAAAGTATGGCGGAACTGAATACCGATCTTTAAACATCAACGCGATAGTACCGTTAAGGAATACTGAGATATTCGAGATTTGAGTGAATACTAAGAATCGAATTTAATTTCTGTACTACTTTCGAATTTTATATCAAGTCTTCGCTGAATTTATTTTTATTCAAAATAATTTTGATCTCTTATAAAAACGACCAAAAAATAATGAAATTAATGAAAGATTAATTTCATGAATGGTAAATTTCATTAAAATGGTAAAGATTAATAAACCGTTTTATTACGATAAGTGTAAATTTTTGCATGAGTTTAGTAATTTAATTGTGTGCGTATTAAAGACATTTTGAGAATTCTTTGAAAATAATTAAATTTCTAATTTTTAATACAAATTTAATACAAATTTCTAATTTTTAATGAATAGAGTAGCTTATAACTGTCATATAGTATGATAATCTAATTATTCTAAGATAAACAATTTCTTGGAAAGTTATAAGAATTGCATACCGACAATTTTATGTATCACGACCTTCATTCATATATACGAGAGAAATACTTGCGGTGTGAGAAATAATCCCTGGCGTGATAAAAGTCTACTTTCAGGAAACATTTCTTGTCAATGATAAACCATGTTAAATCGATCTCCGTTCAGGCGTGCAGATTGAGATAAGAACAAAGAGAGTGTCGTAATCTTGGTTAACTAAGCGACAGACCGCTATAACAAACATGGACTTCGCCTTTTTTACAAATCAAATAAATCAAATATCTTTATTTTTTTTTATATCTAACACGAAATAATGATACGATAATTGCGTGTCCCCGTTCACATTAAATGTTTTACATATATTATATAAGAAAAAAAACACACAGTAGAACTTCGATTATGCAAATTTGAAAAACTAAAATTTTTATTTGAATATTAAACCACAAAGTGGTTTTAACGTATTAATTATTTTATGTAGTTATTATTTTATATAATATTTTGTGGAATATTTTTAAAGAAGTTTGTACCTTTCGATAAACGTATCCCTTGATATAAATGACTAGTAGGAATGTAGATCGTAAATGAAATGTCTTTGAGGGAACTCCGCTCACTTAATGACAACTAAATGAGAACACGAGAGATACTTGAAGAATGCAACAATAATTACTCCCTCACTTGAGCTGCACGGAATAAAATGCATCACTACACGATGCAACTACGGGAACCGACTCTTCTCCTATTCATTTTCAATCGTTCGCATAATTCTTTTCACGCATGATCGGCGATATGTGGGAAGACATGCGCGTAATTTACATCGTTGACATTGTTACTCTCTTCACTCCTTGCGATTGCAAGATAAAAGTACCGCACGCCCGTGTGCTTACATAGAAAAAAGACTATTCTTAAATCAACCACAATATATTCATATATAAGTAAAAGTATTGTCATATAATCTTGTTTCAAAGATAGTCTTAATTTAATTAAATTTTGATGCAAGTTACTTTGTATTCAATTCAAGACTTTAATTTTAATTTAATTTAATTTGCTCAATTAAAAATCAATACAAATTTGATCAAATCATGACTAAAATCTTTAAAGAAAGATTATAATAGTTTTGCTTATATATGAATATATTATGGTTAATTTAAAAATAATTTTTTTCTGTATATGCGACTTAATAAAAAAAAACTAAATATTTGTTTTAATAAATTTGTTTGAATTATTTTAAATAAATATTTACTAAATGTAAATATTTATTTATTTATTTGATAAGAGAAGAACCATTAATTTTATTTAACTATCATTTTTTTATTCAGTAAATATTTATTTACTATAAATAAATTTACTTAGTATTGTTCAAAGAAATATGTATTAAGATCTGAATAAATTTCTTTTTAGTCTATTCGTTCCTTGTAAGGATATTTATGAATGTGAACCGTGACTGTCCGTTCTGCATCGATATTTTACGATCGTGACGAGATACACCAAGTGCACGGATCAATGACGTAACGCAGTCAGTGATCGTGCAGAACAACGGGACTAGATACCTGATTGGATGTAGAGCACCCGGATAGGCAATCTATGGCATACATCGAATTTATACAATTCACTTTCAACGATCGTTTCAATAAATCGATTGAAGTGAATACACTGATTGAACAAGTTGCTTGGATAAAAGTGCTTAGTTCCTCTTACGTTAAGAGTTCCTCTTAGACTTGCGTATCTCTTTACATAACTTACATAAATTTATTTTCTTTTACTTTATATACTGTGAAATAATATTTGAATGCAAAATAATGTTTATAAAACTGTTTAAAATTATTATTATATTTAAACGTTTGTTCTAATACTAATATTGATCATTCAAAAAATAAAGCTGTAATGCAATAATGATACACGGTACAATTTTATTTACTATTTCATACATAATTAGATAAGACATATTTTTAGTAAAATACTTTATGCAATAAATATAATGTAGAAAAAGTGATTTGGTATATTATAACATATGTACCTATTTATCTCAAGAAGATACTTTAATTTATTGAAATTGCAACATTGCATGTAGAGAATCAATCGAAACTAAATTATATTTTTAGAAAAAAAAATTTTAAAAAGATCACACAATGGAAGATACTATAATTATGAGCAGATGTTTTAGAATTCCAAGAAAAAAATATTAATAAATAAAAACTAGATATATGCTGAAGTTTGTACGAATTGTATGTAAAACTTCAAAATTTCTCATCCCTATTTATTTAGAAATATCAAATCGTTGTGCAGAGTAATAATACATGCATCTTTTTTCCATTCAAAGAAAAATGTAAAAAGGTGAGTTTGAAGTAAGAAAGTTCGTAAAAATAACTAATATAATATTTAATTATTTAAATGTAATAATCAATTTTTATTATAAAAGGATATCCATTTTTCTATTATCTTAAAATGGCTATTAAATAACTGATTTAACAATACTGATTTACAATAAAGCAATTATTCTTTATTACTCTTTATACAATAAAGTGATAGTTACCAAAGAAATTTTATTATTTTATTCTTTATCTCCCTTCAGCAAAAAGCAAAAAAAAAACAGAAAGTGAATACTTATGACTAAGACATGATATAATGAAAGCGAAACGCGAAGTTTTTATTTGTCGAACATCGAGCTGCCGACATTTATAACGTGTGAATTTTATGCAGTACTCTCGGTAGATGTTCCTATACGCGTAAAAAAAAATTCATTCGTCACGATTCGTAATACCTGACGAAGGATGGACCGCAATCAAACGGTTGTCGGACATCGATAAGTATTACAGTACGCTGGCGCATGAAAGCGAAAGTAATGTGTTTATTTGATTGGCACATTTATTGCTGCAAATTTATTCTATAGCTCCGTATCTTTCATATGATTAATATATTCTTCTAGCGTCTTTCATCGTGCGTATGAGAGAGAGTGCGTTTCCCATAATTACGTGATAATATTATCGAAACTTTTTTTTTGTAAATGTGAAATGCGAGATTGTTGACAGCAGCATTCAATAGCTCAATGGTAAAGCAACATTGATTGCCCAAAAGAGTTAATTAATGTATTCGGCTCCGGTTGTACCATAGGATTTCGCTTACGTAAATGGGCGGAAGATGAAGAGCTAGCTCGGTAGTGGTCTCGAACACGAGCGTTTCCGGCAATGCCGGTAACTCCGGATAAACATTTGGAGCGCGCGCCAATTGTGCAACGGTTACTCCCAGCGAACTAATGACATCAATTACACACGGTTGAATGCTATCGCCCAGTAAATCTCGCCTCGGCTTGGCTCGAACCGCTAAAAACACATCCTGAGGCAGAAAAACGTCCCTGGGCCCCGCGTTAATGACTCGCGAACAAAGTTCTCACTTGCGTGATCCAGTATACTCTGAATTTCACATTTCGCACTCACATAAACCACAGAAACGCACCTACTAGGAAACCGCGTGCGTGCGTGCGTGCGTGCTTAAGTGCGAATGCGTGTATGGAAAACACTTTCTTCTCGTGTGGAAAACCATGTTAGTGGCAGTTTCTCTCTACGGACCAATAGATGGGTAGGTATCTGTAAAATTCACGCGCCCAGAATAATTAAAGGCGAAGCAGCTGTGCTATTCGCCCGCAAGCGTTTCTCTCAACACTTCATTAGTGTATCGAGTAATTTCATTACTGAAGCAGTTATAATTTGATAATTAAATTTATGTATGATTGGAGGTTTATGGAAATTCTCATATAAAGCGCGTTAGTAAAGATCTTCGTATTTTCTACGTTATTAAAAATATAACGCTACTGTATAATTGAATCATAATTAAACATATTACTGTTTATTGAGCATTTATATTGAGCATTTCGTTTTCTTATTTTAAAAGTGACACAATTAAAAAAAAATTGATTTTCGAATTGTTATTATAAATGAATTAGATATAAGAGAGATTATTCTATTAATCATTAAAAGTAAACTAAATTTAAGTCGGTCTGCAAATAGCATTTGTATTGTTCCTAAAATTTTCAAAGAGATCATAGTACTTTTTATAAAAGTAACATATTTTTTTTTTAAGTTGTATCCTTTTTGTAAATAAAAAGAAGTCTTCTACAGAGAACATTTAGAATTAAGACTGTTTTGACAATCGAAGTTTTGATAATCCGAAGAAATTATTTTATTTTGAATTTAATCATTTTAGCTAATTAAGATAAAATATAAACTGTCGTTGGTGATATTTCGAATTATGTCACTTTGGTAAATTTTTTATTTGAGATTTATTATAATTTTATAGGATATCAAAATTGTCACGATCCAAAACGAACTTTTTAAGGAATGTGGAATAAAAATGACAAAAATTTGATCATGTTTGTACAAATAGATTATTTTTCATCGATATTATTTGAGTCAATAATTTTTTATTAAGTTAAAAAATAATTTTTCTCTTTTTTTTAAAAAACTTAATTCTTTTATATTACTTTTGAAGTAAAAACGATATCATAATGAATATTTGCAGTCTTAAAGATTTTTATAACATAATGATTTGCGTTAAATTTATATCAAGAAAAAAATGATATTATATACATTTATATTAACACCTATGAAATTTAAATAATTTGTAATCAAGGAAAAATACTTCAAATATTATTGTATAATAAAGATTAAAAAGTCTTTGAGAGCCGATGATAGATGATTATTGCAATTACGTTTTATTGTATATAATAATTGAAGTAGAAATTTTCTATGCTTTTTTTTGTTTTCACTTCATTAAATATATTAATGATAAGAATATTTATTCGTAATTTGAACTGTTAATATGTATCTAGCTAAGTCAATTCGCATCCATATATCAATATCTGAAAATTATGATGAACAAATATTTTTATCATTCATGTATTTACTAAAGAAAATTGTCAGAAGTGAGAAATAACACATTAATTGTTTTCACGTGCCATTTATAAAGATAATTTGATAAAACACAATGATGATGTTGCTTTAAAACATTTGTAAAAATGGACGAAAACTGTGCTTATCCCCCTGGCAGTCAGTAAATAATATTTTGCAGAACCCGTGGGAAACGTTCGTCTCTATGCAGATGACATTAGATTCCTCCATGATCCTTGAAAACATAGATGTACACAAACGATTAAACTTTGCGAAGTAGCGTACAATGTGATGTGTTTACGGTAATTCAATTAATTCAGGTACGCCGTTAGAATTGCATTTACACGTTCATTTCATATACAGACGACATTTTGATGTGTCTACAATCGTTAGATGGGTCTTTTCCGAGAAAATAGCGAGCGGTGTTTCTTCTTTAGGAAAATCGCTTCGAGAAATCCAACCTTCGTACTTACAATATATGTGGGTCAGTGTATAAAAAATAAGAAACATTTTGCGATAGACCGCAGTTTTTCCCTATCTGGTTACGAAACAAATACTTGATATGAAGTCCAACATATCGATATGGCGATAAAATAAAATAAAAAAGTAAAGGCAATTTAAAATTAATTTTGAAATGTATGATAGCAATGTAATTTTAGTTAATTAAAAATAAGAGACTTTATTAAATTAAAATAAAACTAGAAATCATATTTAAACATTCTTAAATTCTTGGAAAATTTAATTTTGAGAAACGCGAGTTAACGAGAATATTAAAGAAATTTAAATGCTTGAAATAAAAAGAAGATGGAAGAAAATATTTAAAAAATGACTCTTGTTCTTTTTTATGAAAGCCAATTAAGGTATTTTTTTAGTCATTACTTACTTAATAAATAAAAAAATAAAACAAAGAAGATAATAAAAGTGGGAACTTATTTTATCTAGAAAAGTGCGTATTTAATGATCTTCTTCCTTTATACTTTTATATGATAATTATATGTTGAGCTGTAGGTAGCAAGAAAAGGAAGTTGAGACGCTGTCTTTCTTTCATTTATCTCTCACAATGCTTCAACGATCAACAATACTGAGGCGGACTATGCACCGTGTATCCGTGCCGTATCTGCAGTATTAAAAAAAATTCTGATGAAAGTGATAACGTCGGTAGAACGTTTCCGTGGTGTGGAAATTCAGCCGTCAGGCTTCCACGAGCGTCGCGCAGACACGCGTCGTTAGGGACTCACTTTTCTCGAAACATTGATATTAATATCCCGCTGTGAAAATAACATTAACGTCGCGTATGTCGACGGTGTGCGCGACGGAATGATCATCAGTCGACACACAAGCCAATTTTCTCGAATAATGCGAAACAAAATCTTGGAATCTCCATGCGGAATTCTCTACCGCGCAGAGAAACACGGCGTAAATCGACGCGTGACGGAGAAATGCGGAATATACTGTACAATTTACTGCTCTAATCTGTTCAGATATCTGAGGTTTCATTCTCTTTAATATGAGGCTCGCTTGACAGAGAAAAGGAAAGAGAGAGAAAATATATCCTCTTTACTCTTTCGATATACGATGTACATTATAACCATCAAGTGGAGAAAAAAGATTATTACATTATTTTTGAGAATCTGACAACAGTTTACTATTATTTCTATTATTTCTATAAATTGATAATAACGGGAAATAATAACAGAGGACTGTATAAAGATCGATTTTTTTTACATAGCTTACATACTCTCTGATGATTAATTTTTATAAAAACGCAATGATGAAACATTGACCTAAATTTATTTTGATCAGATTTCTAAGGGAAGGCATGAGTTGCGAATACTTTAACAGAACATTGAATACCTA